ACAAAACCGAGACCAAAACTCAGAGCATAAAGAAAACGTTTCAAAGAAAATGTACAAAAAAATATAATTATTAATAATAATAATAAATATAATAAAACTAATAATACAAATTAATAATAATATTAATAATATAAAATATTAAATGATAATATTGCTATTTTACTCAATATATATAAATCAGACCTAACAAAAATTGAAAGAAAAAAAGATTCTCTCGAGCTTATAGAAACCGAAAAAAATTTATAAATTAATGATAAAATTCTAGATTTCAACAATATTTCTTTTTAGATATGTTGGTATTAGATTTAATTTGAATTATAAGGTACAAAAAGATGACCGAAGCGTAAAGAATAAAATTAAAACAAAGTAAAAATTATTGATTGTCTATTTAAAATGAAATTATTTGCACACATATGTATATCAAAAGTTAAAAATTTGTATGCTATGATAATTTATCTATGGTTATGATTTATGATTCATAATTATGATAAAAAGATAAAATATTTCATAAAAGAGTTTATATTCCAATTCTATTAAAATTATTATTATTATTTATAAAAAAAGGATCTTACAACAATAATATAACACTGACACTATTCAATTAGACAAATTTTTATTATATATTTATTAAACATCTTATACATTAAAGACCTCTAAATTATTATTATTATTTTCGTAAAGAGATTCTTGCAATCAAAGTGTGCTGTAATTAAAAAAAAAAGTTTCTTTTAAAATGAATTGTGTTCAAAGTAAAGAGATCTTTATTAAAGCACATAATCTTAATTCATATTTCGATATGTCATGGCAAAGTTTAAAAGATACAAAGAGCGTACAAATTGTATAGGAAATGTCAACTCATTCTTCTATAGACATAGGTCCACATTATTGATACAGTTTTTCTTAATATTAATTTTCCCAAGCTGTCTCAATTCCTAATTCAAAAGCCGTCACATTCAATAATAAAATTTCATGCGCGCTTTGTTAAGATTTGTTCCTTTGAATAAATCTTAAAAAGAAATATATTTTCAGCATTTGCCACGCATGAACGAACAATATAAATCCGAATTCTATAAGCCAAGAGCTCATTATTGAAAAAGGAATAAAAAGACGATTGTTACTCTTGAGTTTGTCAGGGCAAAAGTCAGCTATATAGTCAAAGAAAAGAACACCCAGACAAAAACAGAAAAAAGAAAAGAAGGAAGAAAAAAAGACACATATTATAGGGTAAGCGTTTGAGGAGCCGTAATCTTAATGCGCCCATTTACCCGTCAGGCTTCCTTATTATAAGTACTTTTCACCTTCGGTTCTTGAGGCCTGTCAGAGCTGACCGAAGTGGCAAAAAGCAACAACACGAAAAACCAATCCCGAAACCGAAACCCGAAACACGAAAGAAACAGATGCTTCTAACAGGCAGAGATCATAGCCAGAGCCGGGGCAACAACAATGCTGAAACCCTCTGTGAAATCCCAAAGAGTCTGCCCCATGCCTTTGCAGCTCATGCCACAGCACTGGAAAACGAGCCAACAATCCAGTTTTCAGTTCAGTTTCTTATTATTATTTTGTTGTTGTTGTTGTTTATTCCTGGGTTTCTGGCTGTGCTCAGTTCTTTAGTTTCTGTTCTGGCAGATCTGCAGTTGATTTCGTTCTGGCTGAAGTTTTTCAGAATTTCGTGCTGGGCCACGTCGTCTTTGTTGTTGTTGTTGTTGTTGTTGCTATTGCTGTTGTTGCTGTGCTTTGTATTTTATTTTTTCTTCACACCTTTAAAAAAGGCAAAGGCACAAATTTTGAACGTCCGACTGGAAATTCAATTCAATTCCCTTGCCACAGGCCGCAGGCCGTCAGAAGAGACGCCAGAGCCGCAGTCGTAGCCGGTTTTTGGTGTTGGTGTCGCGCTTGGTTTTCTCACTTGGCCCGAACACAGTGCATAGGCTGTGCCAGTGTATGTCTGTGTGTGTGTGTGTGTATCTGTGTGTGTCTCTTTCGGCTCTGGAGACTGCAAACTGCGAACTTGGCAGCGCGCAAACTGACAGCCCTTCTGCGCGTTTTTGTAAGTCTTCGCCTGCCAGGATCGTTTTTTCAGCTTTTTTCGTTCGTCGTTGCTGTTTTTTTTTTTTCTTCTTATTTCATCGTTAAGATCTTTTGACAGCCGCATTGCGTTCTTTTTTTTATACCCACTACCCATTGAAAATCTTTAAAGGCGGGTATAATAAAGGCGGAGGCAGCAGGCATATATATACATAGTCTCCCATTTGTTTGGAGGCGGCGATCGCAGATAACTCGGACTTTAACTAGCAGAGCTAGAAGCTTCTAGTTCGACATTTAGCTGTTTGTTAAGTACGTGCTTATTAAATTGGATTCAAGACAACGTTAACTACCGATAAATTTCGATATTAAGCCATAAGTTGCTCATATTTCGAACACTAAAACACAACTTGGCATGAAATATTGATCAACTTCCTCAAGCTTTACAAAAAATGAATAACATTTCTTAATATATTATCTGGATTTTTGGTAATGCTATTTTAAAGCCCTCAAAGTCTTTTAACAATCGCAAAAGAAATCCTCAAGTTAAGTTAAGAACGAAAACTTTGACCTTTGGTATAATTTTGTTTAATGCTTGTTGAAAACCTTGCTAGTTTTATAGGATTTGCAAAGAAATCTTGAAGCTATTAAGGAATTGATTCTATATTGTGAGACAAGACGAGGCAGAAAGAGTGGCTACAGGGTAGCTGCTAGTCGAGCACTCTTAATTGGAGCATGCTTAATTTTTGTTTTTTTCAACTTGCCCGCATTTTGTTGCTTTTGTTTTGTATATTTCTCTCGCTCTTTTTTGAATGGAGCTCAATTTGACATGCCTGAAGATTTTCTTGAGCCGCTTTAACCAAGAAAACAACAACACCAAAAAATATTAAAAAGAGACCAAAATTAAATCGAAAAATTATTGCGCGCTGTGGATTAATTTTGTATGCGCTGCTGGTCATCCCCGTGGCCTGAGGCCAGGAGGCCCTCGCCCACGCCTACGCCTTTGCAGCAGCAGCGGCTTCTTTCTTTCTCTCCTTTGAGGTGCATCCGTAAGCGTTATATATGGGCCGCATAAATTGCGTACTTACAAGTCAGCGTTTATTTCTTTTTAGTTCAAGGTGAGTTTCTAAAGCTCTAAAGAAATTGTGTTTATTTGCAGCTCGTTCTTGACTAAACCCTGGCAAAAACTTAAAAAAAAAAATAAAAAAGACGTCCACTTGACATTATCTTAAATTGAGGGCTCATAAGTCTGGTGGGGCCTTTCATAGTTGGTTTGTCGCAGCCATAAAATGTGTTTGTCGTTTATTTTGTTCAGTGCTTATCGTGTGCGATGTGATAACACGTTTAGTAATAACAAACAGAAATACTAGAGATAAACCACTACGCTCATAAAATACCCTGTACGTGACTGTCAAGTAAATAAAAGTTAACAGAGTACATTACTATAGGTTTATTTTTATATAATATATTTATGCGTCAGCATGTTTTTAATCATCTTAAATACAGGGTATACAAATTTGTAGTTACAGTAAATGAAGGTGTTCGACCTATTATACCCTGTACATGAAGTTAAGTTATATAAATCGATATTAATAGATGGCTGAAGGAAAAATTTACAATCGTTAATTTATGGCATAACTTATATCGCAGTACAAGGTATATATGAGTGTAACTAATAAATTTACTAGAAGGTAGAAAATTCTTTTAAAAGGCTGCGGCCCACACCATTTCCCATTTATTACAGGGTATACACATGTGTAGCGTTCATTAAATTACAAATAGGAATATTTTTGTATATCTTGTTAACCCATGGTATCCTTTTAATCCCTTAGTTGGCATACCCTACTGGCTATCCCTTACAGGGTATATGCATTTCTAGCCACCGTAAGCAAATTGAATTTGTACAACTCTCATGCAGCTGATGTCACGGGTTATAAAACAGCAACGAATTTCTATGGAATTAGGCGAGATATGGAATCAAATATAGGGAAATAGTTGATTTATGGCTTATTCACGCCTCTTTCTGCGGAACAAGGCGTTGCCAGTAACAAGCTTTGTTAGAGAGTTGATCCCAATGTATCGTACTTATTTGAGAATAGCTTAAGGTAAAAAAAATGCCCAAGATTTTTAGAATCTTTACGGTTTGTAGACTACAAAGATTCAGATTGTATCTTATATGAAAGAAGTAGCTGACAAGATGCTTATTGAATTCGATTTTTAGACTACAAAGATTCCAAAGTTCACTTTCAGATTGATGTGCACGGAGAGTTTTTTAAAATGTATCTTCCAAAGTATCTTCCTTCAAATAACAGAGCTTAGCTTTTAACAATCTTCAAGATTTGTAGAGAGCAAAGATTAAAAATGTATCTTACTTTCAAATAGCCGATATCAGGATCCTTTTGAAGAGATTTGTAGACTGCAAAGATTTCAAAGTTCACGTTCAGACTGTGACACATCCCATCATTAAAATGAATCATACTTTCAACAAACGGAGCTTAAGAAAATAAAAATTCCAGTATTCTTATAGGGAGTTGATCAAAATGTATCCTATTTTCAAATAACAGCCGTAAGAAAAACCCCAAGAATCTTGGTATCCGACGGAAAGATTCTATAGATTGAATTTTAGACTATTTTTTCGCTGTGAAATGCCAAATAAAAATATTTTATATACTAGATTAAAGCGCTTTTTAAAGTGTTTTTTAAATTTACGGAATATTTAAAATTACTTTGTCTCGTGGAACACCATAGATTTGTAGACTAGAAAGATTCCAAAGAAGTTCACGTTTATATAAACTCGATTAAAAAGGAAACAATCGCAAATCTCGATTTTAAAACTATTCTTTCGTTATCAAAAAATATATATAATTAACTACATTAAGCTGTTTCTACAACGATTTTTTTTTAACATTTTCGGAATCTTTTTTCTTAGCTCTCGTGGAACACCCCTACGTATTTTTGTTGATTTTTAGAAATTTGAGTTTTTCAATTATTAAAAATATATATAAATGCGTGTTTAAGGTCCACGTCCAGCATTTGGAACAATATACTCGGCATCCTCGGGCAGATCGTAAAGCTTATAGTATTCCCCATTAATTTCGGTGCAGACGCAACGTGAGCTGTTGTTCGGATTGTGTTTACGCTTTTTGGGTCGATGCTGTAGCGGCACGAAGCGCGGCTGGTGCGGTTGCTCCAGTTCTGGCACCTCCATTAGCTGTTCCACACGAGCGGTCAAGCGTCTGGTGTATTTGGTCCGCCTTTGCACGCGCACTTGATTATCCAGACTTTGGACAAATTGTTCCTCCAATCGATTCTTCAGCTCCTGCTCGTCATGTCGCTTCCGCTCCTCCATGATCAGCAAACGGGCGCTGCGGCGCGGCTTTATCGGCTCTACGATCGGTTCTACATTGTCGGAAGCGTCACCAGACATTATCTACAATATGGCGATCCTCAATGCTTAGCTCTTGGAGATTTATTTTGAATACTTACCGGTTGAAGTAATTTTCCTAAGAAGTTTTTGAAAATCTCGCTCATCTTTTGCTTCCTATCGTGTTGTGATTGTAATTTATACTAACTGAGCCGGGGCTTAGATCTCATAAGGTCGCCTCGATGAAGTTAAAAACTCTGGCTATTTGGTTTTATTCAAAATTTGTAAGAAATTGAAAGTTGTTCATAATCCCAAGCTTGCTTTTTGTTGTATATCACATTAGAAGTCGTTATGCTTCGAAATTGAGAAAGTTCTACGTATGGATTATAGGATTACGTAAATACATTTTGGATTTCACGAGGATTTATAATCCTTTTTATCGAGTCAAATGAATATCCATAAAGATATATACAGATAATTAGCTTTATTTTATACAACAAAATAACAATAAATTCCCCTTGGAACGTAAAATTAATTCTTTAAAAAATAATCTATGCATATCCATTTATATATTTATGTGAAGTATATTTAAAATTTGTCGCCGAATTCCTCATGATGTCTCACAGTTTCTAATTATAGTACCCAAGCATGTTCTCATAAGCAGCTGAGATTATCGGATACTAAAAAAATATTCGTTGGAGGAATACCTCAGGCATATATATAAATGGCAAACGGTATAATTAAATATATATTTAGATCCATATCGACTATATAAAGACGCAGTCTTTAAACTTTATTAAATCCCTTAACTTTTTTTGGTATTCATATTAGAAACTTTCAAAAATTAGAAAAGGACGTATTATTGTATAAACATGTATTAATATATATATACATATGTATGTACATACTTTTTGACTATCTTTAAGAAACTTTCTCACTCTCTCTCTCTCTCTCTCTATCTCTCTCTCTATCTCTCTCTCGCTCTCACTCTATCTCTCTCCCCCTCTCTCTCTCTTAACTACTCGCCCACATTTCTATTAGTTATTTTGCAATACATATTTCTTTTATCGTACATTCCCAAGGTTAATTCCTTAAGTCCACTCCACCTGACTGGCACACATACCCTACTCGGGGGTGTATATTTTGGCATATGATATCACACACATATCACAAGCTACCCCTCAGTCTTATCAAGAAGGCAACAACAATAACAATAACACTTTTGTACGCTTTGTTTGTTTGTTATTTATGCGCTTTAGACCAATCAAGCAAAACGGTTTATCATTAAAGCGATAAAAAAAAGACGTTAATTTATTATAAACACATACACACGCGCGTTTTTATTTACATACACATGCATAAATACGCAAATGTTAACTAATTGTGCAAAAAAAAAACAGAAATTGAACTTGAAGCAAGGTCTTAAAAGCTTCTCTCATGGCGAACTGCTCTCGCTCCCTCACTCCCTTACTTGACGCCCTGTTTGCTACGCCTTCGTTTTAATAAACCGTTATAAGCGTGCGTGCATGCAGCGACTGCTGTATGTTTGTGTGTGAGTGTATTTATGCAGTCCAAAGCATCCAAGCAGAAGGCAATGAAATAAGCCAACAATTATAAAAACTCTTTTTAGTTATTTAATTAGCTAGCCACCATATAGACGTTGCGGGCGCAGGCGTGAGGGTAGCTGTGGGCAACGGTGGCAGCGTCTCGCGTTCGTATCTAGAGTGGAAAATTAATGGCTACAAAATTAAATTTATTTTTGCAAAAAAAAAAAAAACAAAACAAAAGCAACAACACCGAACGGCAGCGCGACGAGGCAGCCGCTGGCACAGACAGCCTGGCAGGCCGCGCAGTTGCTTTCTTATTGGATTTTGTTGTTAGTGTATATATGTGTTTTTTTTCTATGTGCGTGTGCGTCTGTGTGCAAAATTTATGTTGCTATTTGCGTCGTTGTTGCTGCGCAGCGACTGCGCTGCTCTTATCATGGGTCTGTTCTTGTTGTTGTAGCTGGCACGTTACCTAATTAGTCGCCGCAGACAGCGCGGCAATAGGCAACGATTTTACCTTTTATGTTGTTATTGTAAGCCATAGACCAATACAAATAAATACACCCAGGCACACAAACACACACACGCACACATCTCACATTGACGTAACGTCAACTGCGACAGACAACGCCGACGCTGACTGCGCGCTGTTTCCGTTCTCGTGCCCACGCACCTCGGCACAGATACACAGCAAGAGAAAGAGAGAGGGCAGGAGACTGTGCGAGCAGCGCAGCGCAGAGAGGGACAGCGCAGACCACGCGACAAACGCAGCTTCAACTTTGTTGTTGTTTCTTTTGCTGTTCTTGTTGTTAGCGGCTGCTGCTGTCGCTGCTGCTGTGTTGCTTTTGTAGACAGTGGGTTTAAAAAAAATGCACAGTGCTGGGAGAGAGACAAATTGTGGGGTGTAATGGAAACGAGCAAATTTTATGTGCCTTTGAATAGCTGCTTGATCACGGCGAAACGAATCGATTACACTAAAAAGAGAGACATACAAATTAGACATGCAAGATACACACATACATACATGCACACACACATGCATGCTTAAAGTACTAGCATAAGCGTTCACTTTGACAACTGATCAGCTTTGTAGTTGTTGTTGTTGTTGGTTTTTTTACGAACCAGCTTATAAGCAATTAAATTCAATTGATTACATTTGAAGTATAGCCGGATGTGGCGCAGCGGCTTAGTGAGAGCTTGGATATCACCTTTTGACTTGTTATAATGTACATAAAAATGTCAATAACATAATGTTTATCTTTACTTTGAAACTTGTTAAATACATTTATATTCAAGAGATTATTTACTCTTTTGTATTTATACTTGAGTTTTTCATACTGCTAATATCAATAATTTGCTACTAAATATAACTTAGATTGTGATTTCTACGAATGCATTTTTCTTCTACTCTGAAAATTTGTAAATAAATTAATAAATATTTATTTAAAAATTTTCTTTTATCTTTGAAATGAACAACAAAGGCGATTAATGCATACCACTGTAGTAGCTTTTCATCTGCAGTTTTGGCAACGGCAGCTGCAGCTGCTTTGAACTCAACTTCACCTCACCACAGCCCACCTCAACTTATTCCAACTCAAATTACTGCCCGCCCACTGCATGTGCTTTGGCTTATTTTGGTTTTGCTTTGCTTTTTTTTTTTTTTTGGTATTTTTACGCCAACGACAAACGTCACTCACACAGACACACACACGAAAATATTGTATATATTTTTATTCATTTGGCAAAGGCAATAAGCAACAACAAAAAACGACACAAGTAGAAACAACAACAAGATAACATTTGGGCGAAGCGTTTTCATCATACAAAAAAAAACCAGAAAAAATAAGCAGTGGGCGACAACAACAACACTAAGAAATGAACTGAGCCAGCAGAAAAATAATAAAAACAGGCAACAACAAGAAAAATTACCAATTTAAATGTTAAAAAGCAAATCAACAGGCAGCAGGTAAAAATTAAGACCAATAAAAATGCGGCCTCAGGCATTTACTAAGCTCCAAGCAAAAACAAAAAAATGTTACAACAAGAGAAACACATTAAAAATGTTATATAAATTAAAATTAAAACAAAAACTATTTTGTAGTTTACCCTCTTCTTCTCTATATCTCTCTCGCTCTCTTTTTCGTCTATTTCCACAATCTGCTCTCGAATCGAATGAAAAATTATGTTATTCTTGTGCAGCTAACGATCTTTAACACAGATACATACACACATACAAACAAACGTATGCATATGGACATGTCTCATGTGTTTTACCCCCGTCCATTGTATATTTATGTGTGCGGCATTATCATATCATCGCCATCGACAGCTAACAACGTCGACATTTTGTCGTTTTCATAAGAAAACAATACCCGCCCATGCTCGTACCGTTATCTAATAAATTGTGAGGGAGTTGACGAACACTACAAAAAAAAAAATCGACTTAAAAAATCTCGACAAAATCTGCATTTCATTTGCGCATCGTAAATTTTGTTGTTGTCCACAGATAAAAAAAAAAAAACAGTTCAAAGCGAAAGCTTTGAACAACAAATGTTTACTTATAAAATTGATTGGCGTGGGTTTTGCCCTTACATTGGGTTTTTTTCCTCGTATCTTATTTTCTTAAAGAGAGAACTTATGCTAATCAATATGCGATTTAGTTAGCGTTTTATACATGCAAATTGATTCAAAATGGCCGCCAGTTTTAAACAACTACGAAAATTAGTAAACCGAACGTCGCTGATTGGTGTGTGAAAATTGTAGCGCACAAGATTTGGCTAGAAAAAAAAACACAATACCAGACTAATTTATATGTGAAATAGTAAAAAACAACGTGTCGTTTTTTATTTTCTTCCCTTTTTTTTTGGCATCTCAAGATATTGATCGATAGACAGCAAGCGTTTGGAAACTGTCATCGATTCTGATTGGCGGCCACCCGTAGCAGCATCCATTGATCGATAGTTTTATTAAAAGCGTGTCAAAGGCGTTGGATAATATTTTATGTCTCTGAAGAAACATGTTGTCAAATCAACTGAAAGCAGCAAATGAGAGCTAGAAATTGATGTGCTTTATGAATATTGATTGATTATTAACATATTTTAATATTATTAATTTTGCCAAGCAGAGATTAATGTAAAGCTTAGAGTTAGGATTAGGCTAGAGCTCACACATGCATATTTGAATATCTATTAAAACGTGTCTCCCTTTATAGGTAGAGATAAATTTATAATCTTAAGTTTTTATTGGACTTTAATCTGAATTATAAGGTTACCTTAGGTTAGGTTGAGATGGGACTCTTTCACATAGATAAGCAGAGTACTGTCGGGTTTTTCATTTCTTCAGGGTTTAATCAAATTCAAAGGTTAGTTTCTCATAAAATTTTCTTTAATTCTCTGCTTATCAATACAGAATGTAAGTAAACAGCTTGTTTTTTGCTTTTCGGGAAACTTGGTTAATTTTCAAGTCAAGCACTTGCCGCAATCAATTCAAATATTTACCATTAACAAGTTTTTCAACATAACTGGTCAATAAATTTGTATATATGTTCTACGGCATATAAAAATAAAAATGATTTCCTCTGTAGATACCGCCGCCTCAACGATCGTGCCACGATCGTAGACAGTGCAAACCTATTGATTAGATAATTGCATGGAGTGATACTTAAACATGCTACACACATATATATATATATAACACATATATAAGGGAACCCAATATAAAAATTATCTAATTGAGACCAGAGACAGCAAGAGTTTCGTCAGTTAGTTAGGGGGAGTGCTTCACACAGAATTGAGGCCAATTCTTGTTGCTGCTGTTGTTGTTATCGATGGCAACTAAAACTAATCAAAAGCACTTCACTGCGGACACTTGAGCAACAACTCGCCAGAAACTACTAACTATATATAGAAAAGAGTCTGGAGTTGCAAGAAAATGTTTTCATTTTGATGTGCTGCTGCCGCTGCCGCTGCCGCTGCTGGAAAACTCTTTGAAGCAGGAAGAAAAGAAAAAAAATGGAAATAAAAAATATCTTCAACTAAGTAAAGTGAGCGGGTTCTGCTGCTGCCTTCTGTGTGCTGGTTTTTCCTTCTGGCGTGCACTTTTTTATTTGATTTCATTACGCTTTGCTCTTTGTAGTTGTAGCTGTAGATGTTGTTGTTGTTGTTGTTGTTGTGTTACTAAATTTGGTTGTCTGGGCATTTTAACGCGCCTCTCAGTGTGTGTGTGTGTGTGTGTGTGTGTGTGCGTGTGTGTGCCAGACCATTTTTAGTAGCCTGGCCGGCAAAAGCCGCCTCTCTATATAGCCTATGCGTTACGTATTCGGTAAATATATTTATTTATATATATATAAAAGTGTATACATATATACATATATATATGGGCATGTCTGGTGCGGTAATTGCGACTATTGCTGAGTTTTTGCAGCCGCCTCCTTAGCTTTTTGCCCTTTTTGGTGGGTGGTTTTGTTGTTTTTTCTCTCATTTTTGGCCTGGGAAAAATGTTTGTTAGCTCAACATGCCTATAAGCAGTATTGCCAATGCCTGGCGGCATTCGCATTCGCTTAGAACTAATTTGTGCAACAGGTCAACGCAACATCAATTGATTTGTTATCTAATTAAAATGTTATTACCAAAAGGAAATTGTTTTGTAGAAATCATTTATACAATTATATAAAGGCCAAACATTTGTGATATTTCGTCAAAATTTAGAGTCTTCTAATTGGGTTTTTGTCCATTCTCCAAAACACACAAATTTGACACCAAATTGTTATATCTTATTCCAAGCAAACTTAAGTTAAGAGCTCGAATAAAATCTTTATAAGGATTCGCTTAATATAGAGCCTTACGTAAGGTTCCCAGAATCTTAAATTGTTCACAGGAAACTGCATGACAAATTTTATTATTTCATAGCTTACAATTTCCTAGATTATTGAGTTTATATAATAATGTCATTTTTATAAAGTCACTATAAAGTCGCATTTGCTAACTTCCACAACCTAATCATGCATTATTATAATTATTTGTTTATCAATTTTAATGCACCATGACTTTTGGAACTAACTTTTTATGAAGCTGATAACATCAGCTAACGTAAGTTGTAGAAATTTGCTGAATTATCTAGAATTTGCATTTGTAGGAGGCAAGAGCCTGTATACCAAATTTAATAGCTCTAGCGCTTATAGACCCCGAGTTCGTTGAGATTATAGAGGGAAATTTAAAGAGCTGCCAACTTTTGCTTGTCAGCAAACTTAATTATACGTTTTTATGGGTATTTTATGTCTACAAGGTATATTAAATTTATCTATAGAGCTGTTAAACCTATTTGCACACTTCAGCTGATTGCGGGGCATCTCAATGTCGAGCACGCCCCAATTTAGCTGATAGCAAAAAGTGCGCAGCATTCGCTTTATCTGAATGTCGCCGAATTTCTTTTGAATCCGTGTGTGTCTGGCTGTACGTGTGTGTGTAGGTGTGTCTGTGTGTGCGCGCTCGCGCTTTGGACTTTTTTGCAAGCGCAAAGTACAATATGCAAAACGCTGCACAATTTCAACAAGTTGAAAGATATTTTATTTTATTTTTTTAGGGGCTGATGCTGCTGTCTGGTGCGTCTTTTGCCGTTGGTTTTGTATAAAACGTTGGCTCTGCGCGTTTTTTTTTTACTCGTGTTTTATTTTTTTTCGCACAAAAACATCCGGTCGTATTTTAATTTAATGAGCATTTATTTTGCACACTGCCAGAGTCATTTGCCAGCGCTGTTTATAAATTATAATTTATTTATTTTGCTTTGCGTTAATATAAACAACTTAAATTGCAGTACAAGCTGCATTAAGGGGCATATTAATAATATAATTTTTAAAAAATACTGAATCTGCTTTTTACTGATTGCTATCAGCATCGAGTACACTTAATCGATACCTAATAACGCCCAATATTTAGTATATTTAAACATTATTTCTAATACTGTGGCATCTTTGGACTCATGCTCTCTCTTTCTCTCTACTTGACAGGCGCTGATCATGCAGCAGCTTCTAACGAAGGAAATGCGAGCGTGCTTCACAACACTGGCCGTTGGCGAGGCCGCCACTGACGCCGCAGCCACTGCGCAGGAATAACGGAATGTAGGGAAAAGCGCACGCAAAGTTGAAAACGTTCGAATTTATCAAGCATACAAAACAACAACATCAACAACAAATAAAAACCAAACACAAATTAAAAAGCTAAACAGCAAAAGAGCAAAACGCCTCAAAATGCACGTTTCGACTATAAAAAGCGAACAACAGGAAAGGGCAAAGGATGCATGTGCATGCGCCGTAGACGCAGCCACAACGATAAAGTTTAATAATTATCGAAAACGACGCATATGCAACAGCAGCAGCGGCAGCAGCGAGAACGGTATTAACAACAACTACATTTGCAAATTTATAATGACGACGTCAATTCTGCTGCAACGCCTCGCAACGCTGAGCATGAGTGGCAAGTGGCGACGGCGCCGGCGGCGGCGCAAACAGCAAAACGACAACGCAATTCTTAAAGCAACAACAAGAACAACAGGCGCCAATAATGATAATTGTAATTATAGTACAACAACAATGCGTACCAATGATTTCAATAAAATCAATAAATTATTGCTAATTACGTGCATGCTGCTGATAACAACTACAACAATTTGTCAAAGCTATGTACCAGGCGCTGCCGCCGCCGCTGCGCCATCGACGTCAGCGTCCGGCGAGGCGTCAACGTCGCCGTTGAGCGCGCTGCTCAAATCGGGCGGAGCCTCCTACAATCAACAGCTGCCGCAGCAACAACTTTTTGCGATGTTAGCAAGGAATAACGGTGCTGGCATCGGCCTCGGCAGCGGAAACACGGCTGCGCTGGCATCGGCAGCAGCGGCACCGCATCAGCATCAACGTCAGCGTCCACGTTTTCTGCCGCTGCGCGAAGACGAAGATTCGGAGGATGCGGCCGATGAAGAATTTGCTGGCTTGCATATTCCAATGGAAATCGCAGCGGCTGCTGCTGTTGCTGCTGTTGCTGCGCCGTCTTCCATTTCATCCGCTTCGCTGGAAACAAGGGGCTTCGTGGCCGACGATGGTGGGCAATACGAGCAGGCGGAGAGGGCGCTGGCAGCCGCCGAATCAGCGGCAAATGCGAATGCCAAAAATAACAACAACATCAACTGTCCCAGGGAGTGCAAGTGCCTGAACGTGTTCTTCGATTGCGATAAGCTGCACTTGGACCGTGTGCCTGTGCTGCCCAGCTATGTGCGAACGCTGTAAGTAAACCAAGCAGCCCCTTTTGCAACCCCAAAAACAGTTGGGAGAATTTTCAACAACCCTCGCAGTTTGCTTTTATTTTGTATACCCTGTAATAGTTATAGATCAAACAGAGCGTATTACTGTTATGACCATTTAACAGAGATATGTATGCATTATATCGTATGTTATATATTAACATAACTGTTATCTAACCTTATCGGTGTTAAAAATCGGATCTTAATAGCTGAAATGGGCTATTTGTTAAGAAGTTTCGCTTTTTATTTTATTGAATTATATTGAATATTTTGAAATTTTTCTAAAGTCGATAAACTCAGTGGCAGTGTAAAAATCATGATTTAAAAATATGATATGAATATATATTTTCACCCTGATAAATACTGTTGATTATATTAAACTTACACTCAAATTTATAGGGTATATCACAGCCAGACAGTTTCAGCTTAAACACCGCCCTGTATTTTGTTTTTATTTATACGTTTCCCTTCTCATTTGGGGGGTTGCGATTTTTATCGTTGCGCTTTTAATCAATTTAATGCACTGCAAAATTATGCAAAATGTGCCGCGAGTCGAGTTATCGACGGCAATGCATCAATAATTGCACGACTGTGGCACGCTTATCAGTCAAATTGCAGCATAATTACAGCACATTAATTGCAGGCCTCGAAAATCCAATCAGCTAACATTGTTATTCATATTATTTATATTTTTTGTTTTGTTATTTTTTTTACCCCACAGGCATCTGGCGGGCAACAAATTGAACGACAGCACCGTCCTAGCGATACGAAATCTGCCTGAGCTACGCAAACTGTAAGTAAAAGCAAAACAACAACTAAATATTGAATTAATTGTTTCATTTGCGGCCAGCTATCTAGAGTAGATAATGCTGTATAATCTGTTAGCTAAGCGTGTATTTTTAGATACTCGTATTTATAAGTTACAAATAAAAGCCATCTGTTTTTCAATTTGAGTCTAAGCTATATACCTCAATTTAAGATAAAGCTTTCGAGAGCTAAATGCAGCTAAAAGCTTAATTCATGTAGGAAAATAAACTATTAAAATTGTTCACTTAGTAACATTATTTCACCAGCAAAAGAATAATAACTTTGGTTTTTAGACATACACTAATCAAACTGACGGAATCTAACGGAAATGTTAATGGTAACACATTACCTTAAGATGTAACTTTTAGCAGTGTACTGTTAGCATATTCCAATGCTTTTCCAAAGCAGTTTCCATTTAAATGAACCTTTTTGTGTTTCTGTAAATAGCTTCAACCATTTGTCGAAGAATAACCATCTAGTTGTATTGTTATTAAAAGTGATTGTTAATGGAATATTTTTCATATGCCATAAGGGAAATCTGTTTAAACTTTATTTAATTAATAACATACACCCTATAAGAGCTTCAGTTACTATTTTATGTTAACTCTTAACATCTGATTAATATAGCTGTTAGAAACAGCTCAAAAACTACATAACAGTGCTGGAAAGCGTGGACACGAACCAAATTCATAATGGTCGTCCACTTAATAAATACATTACAATATGTATAATGTGGATTTAAATTTATATATTGGTTGCATTTATATACATCCAAACTAACCCCTCTCCCTACTCTCCACAGCACACTGAAACGCAATCAATTGGATGTTATGCCCATGTTTGTGGGTCTTACTGAATTGCAGCATCTCAATTTGGCCAACAATCGCATACAGCGAATCTCGAGCGGAGCGCTGGCGCTGCTGCCAAAACTCAAATCGCTGGATCTGAGCAAGAATCAGCTGCACAGCGTCGAGGCCAATGTGTTCCCCAGGCCCAATCGGCTGGCGCACTTGTGAGTTACAAACCGACGATCCCCATTAGAACTGTCGATTAATTGTAACATCCATTTGCATTTACAGAATACTCAACTCCAATGAGATAGCCAATGTGGATGAGCTGGCGTTTGCGGCATTGAGCAATCTAACGGATCTGGAGTTGAGCAACAATCGCTTGACCAGCCTGCCAATGGGCGTGTTCAAGAATTTGAATCGCCTGAAGAAGCTGTAAGTTCTAGCTTCGATCGTTATTTAAGTTTTCCTAACATTGTTTCCATTTGCCTTGCAGCGCACTTAACTACAATCAGCTGGAGATCAATTGGTCCACATTTCGTGGCCTGCTATCGTTGCAGAAGCTCCAACTAAAGGCGAATAACATTAAGATGCTGCAGGATGGCGTCTTTCATGTGATGCGCAGCATTGAGAGCATCGAGCTGGATCACAATGGCATCAGTTCGCTCTCCCGCCAGGGTCTGTTCAATTTGACCAAGCTGCATCATCTTAGTTTGTCCAATAATTCCATTACACGCATCGAGTTGGACACTTGGGAGTTTACACAATCTCTGGAATCGCTGGATTTGTCGCACAACTTTATTAGCGAGTTCAAGGCACAGCATTTGGACTGTCTTAAGCGTTTGAAGACTCTGAATTTGGCGCACAATAAGCTGCAGTATTTGCCGGAGAATACGTTTGACTGTGTCAAGAATCTGGAGGAACTGAATTTGCGTCGCAATCGTCTCGCCTGGATCATTGAGGATCAGTCGGCTGTGCCGCCATTTAAGACGCTACGCAAACTGCGCCAGCTCGATCTCAATGGCAATTATCTGAAACAGATTAGCAGCAAGGCTCTTAGCGGTCTCATTAGTCTGGAGCTACTCAATCTGGGCGGCAATGCTCTAGCCAGCATACAGCCGAATGCTTTCGAGCATATGCAGAACCTACAGAAGCTCGTCTTCAAGTCGGACAATTTTATATGCGATTGCGAGCTGCTTTGGTTCCGTCAGTGGCTGCGTACCCGCTTTGCCAAACAGGCTCAGCAGCTGCTCACGAACGTGGTCTGCGGCTATCCGGATCAGCTGCTCGATCGCCAGCTGTTCAATCTAACCGAAAAGGAACTGGTCTGCTGTATGTTTTAACTATTTCTCCACAATTCAAAAATGTTTTTATATTACAATTACAATATTTTTCCGCTTTCAGCTGACTCACCCAAACCGGTGGTGCAAAAAGAGCCAACCAATTTGCTGGCCGTGAAGGGCGCCAATATAACCTTGGAGTGTATAGCCAGCTCGCCAGCTGCCGCCTCTATAGCCGCCACCGATGAGCTGAAGATTAAGTGGCGACACGACAATCAGCACGTGCTGGAGCATCAAAGCCTACACGATGGCGCAAGCACAGAAACCCAAATACATCACGATCAGCGTACCAATCAGACAACCATTTATGGCTATCTGCGTTTATCCAATGTCAGCTACGAGAGCGCCGGACGCTATCAGTGCGTGGTATCCAATGCATTTGGCACGACCTACGCACAGAAGTTCAAAATATCCATAGGCAGTGAGTAGATCAATTTAATATTTATATAGACTTTACTTTTTTATTTTTTATATATACATTTACATGTGTTTATCGCTAACCGTATACCATGCTTTCAGTTCATCCCAGCTTTTTGCATGTGCCTTCCAATCTAACGCTGGATGCAGGAGAAACAGCACGTCTGGTCTGCTCCGCCAGCGGTGATCCAATGCCGGAGATAGCATTGCAAAAGTTTGGCGCTAGGGATTTTCCGGCAGCCACAGAGCGGCGCTTGCAGGTGATACGCGAGGAGAACGCGTTTATCATCACCAACGCCAAGCCCAGCGATTCAGGCATATATACCTGCACAGCAGAGAGTCCGGCGGGCGCGATCAAAGTGAATGCCACACTGCTCGTAAATGGTGAGTTCAAAGCTGTGGCCCCCAACCAGGAAATATTTTACTCTAATATATATTTAATTCGTGCACAGACAAACCGCTGCCTAGCATACCGCTGGTGCACAAGGAGGTGGTGCTGGGACGCACCTGTGTGCTGGAGTGCCTCAGCGAAACGATTAACATGGAGCTGGAGCAGCAGCATCGCGAGTGGTACAAGGAGAACAAACCGTTGCACAATTCACCCACTGGGCCCGATGCGGAGCGCTTCTACTTTACCAAGAACAAGGAAGTGCTGGTCATCGTGAATGCCCAGTCGAATGATGCGGGTCACTATCGCTGCGATATCAGCGACAATTTGCGCACCCTAACGCTGCAATCGGAGCTTTTGGTGGTGCAGGATAGCTACAATATTGATGTAGTGCTATGGTCCGTGGCGCATGTGACGATTTTCTGTGCCCTGATTGGCATTTGCGTCGTTTGGAGCACTTTGCGCTATCAGCGCCGCAAACAATCGCATAGCAGCAATCAGAATACACTGGAACAGACGCAGCTAACGACATTGAATCTTCCACAGCTGCGACCATATCAATCGCAGCAGGTAATCGACGGATTGGCCAGCGCGCAGAAACAACAGCAGCGCCAGCAACAGCAACAGTCGCAAACGCAGCTGCGTCCGCGCAGCTTGGCGGATTTGGGCGCCGGCGAGGCACAGACGCACAGTCGCCTGATTGTTACCACAACGCCTTCGTATGAGCAGCGCTGCCTGGAGCAGCGATGCCTGGAGCAACGCTGTCTGGAGCAGGGCCTGACGCTCAGCTTTTTGCAGCAGGCGGATCTCGAGTTGCAACAGGACCATTTATCCAGCAAGGATTCCGGCACTGGCTCGGATGCGGCGGTTAAGCGTAGCCTCGAGGATTTTGTGGTCGCCATGCCGCTGCGTCAGCCGCGACGTCGACTTTTGCATGAGGATGACGATGTTGATGATGACGATGTGGACGAAGCGGATGACGATAATGATTTGCAGTTTGCGCCGACACGTGCGCTCGGCGTCTCCGTGTACGATGACATGGAACTGTACGAGCTGAATCACAGCGCTGCCGAGCAGCAGCGTTTTCTGCGCAACAACAATCACAACTACGATGGTGGGGGCGCGGGCGTGGCAAATGGTGGTGTAGCGCCGCAGCTGACGCCGCCGGTGGCGCCGCGCAAGTGCAGCGCACATCTGAGCGGCACCAGCGTTGACTACAAGGCAGCCAGCGCGGTGGACATTTAAGTTTGAGCCAAAGCCAAGAGAAATGCAAATAAAACCAAAATGCACACACCAAAAAACATAAACTGGAGAGATGGGCTGCGCTTGCCACGCCCCCTCCCTTAAAACCAAAACCACCCGCCACCCAAAAAATAAGAAAAAAAAACCTAACAAACGAACAAAGACTGCTACTCGTAATATAAAAGTTAAAATTTAAATATAATAATATATGACGACGCTTGCCAGTAGGCGGCCTTAAAGAGTATATATGCAACTGTCCCTGCACAGAGATATATATTATGTATATGTATATATATATGCTGTATATATATTATATACATACCAGTGTCTTCGTAATTTATGAAATTTAATGGATTAATTATTAATTACTTTTAATTAAAATACAATTAAATATTACTCTAATATCTAAGCATACTGTATATTTATAATTTGTAATTGTTTATTTCGCTTGTGATATTATTTATTATTATTTTTTGATTGCTTAAATATTTGCAGCTGTATATATATGGCACCTGTTACCAATTAGTATTTAGTTTTAATTGTAGCTCCTAAGTCCCAATTGCCACGAAATCGGCTATGAATTGCTAAAATAATGTACTATATATTGCCTGAATGCGTTTATATATACACTCGCGTATTTAAGTCTGTTTTATGATGCTACTATTTCAAATTTGATATATGTTTATGTGAATTGATTTGCCTTATGCTTATGGCCTTGACTATATATATATTTATATATAGTATTTGAAAAATCTAGAATCATAAGTGACAAATTTTTGAAGCAAAATGAAGTCAACAAATGCTAATAAAATTCAAGTTTATAAAATTTAAATATTTTCAGTTGTAAAACAATTCCAATTTTTACTTCCTATTAATCTAAGGGCTAGGTTGAAATTCTCAATTTGATTTCTTTTTTAATATTGCGATCTTATTTGTGCTGATCCTTGGTCCCATATGCATTAGCTGGCCCAAAAAACAAAAACTAATGCTTAGGAAGGACAAGGCAGAGTCTTAAATTAACGTTTGCTAAGCCGAGGGCGTAATTTATTCAATTGAAGGCACAGATCTTCAAAATAATTGAAAAATTATGCCTAAACAGTCGAATCTTGTGAATAAATTTTTCAATTCATGTCCAGAAGTAAATAAGTTTAAAATCAATAACAAAAAATTGGAAAACCATGCTGCATAATCATGTAATAAATCGAGTTTGTTACTCGATAACTTCTGTAGTTCTTGACATCCAAATAGTAAGCTTAGAAACAGTTCCTCTTCTTATATAAGGAGAGGTCTTGGCTATGCAGATATCTCATGTTCTGAGTATATAATATGTATATATGGAAGATATGGTAAGCATATACATTTATTACATGTTCTTTCCTACTGTTTTGTGCCTTAGCATATAGTTTAGCTAATTTGAATATAAACATAGACTTGGCATAAATGCTAATAATATGCAAAGGTCAGTTGGAATCCTCAGAGCTGTCACTGTAGGCAGCCAAAAGGGATAAACCAGCGGGTGCTGTTGTCGGTTTAGGCGTGACTGCTGCGGATGCGGCTGCCGTAGCTGTTGCTGTTGCAGTTGCAGTTGTATTTACTGCTCCTGCTGCAGGCTTTGGTTTCACCAGCACCAGAGGCGTCTTGCGTTTTACTAGCTGAGCGCCAGCTGTGGCTTTGCTGGGCGCTGAAGCACTGCTGGGCTTGGCGAATTTGGCTGCTGGTGGCGCTGGCAATGCTGTATCCTCCTCCTTCAGCTCCTCAATAATTTCCTCCGTGACAATGCGCGTGCCGCTGCTCTCCGCTTTGTTTTTAAAGTTCACAGATCTAACAAATATAAATATATTATGTTTAGTTTATCATGTAAAAGGGCCAGCTGCAAACTCACTTGACAAACTCCTCATCTTCACGTTCCTCGCGCTCCTCGCGTTCACGTTCCGTTTCCGCAGGATTATACTGCTCCAGCATGGTCGTATAGTCCACAGTTTGCTGTCGTCTGTTCAAATCGCGCAGCTCCTCGAGACTCTCGAGCATTTCGATTTCGTTGCGCGACTGTTGCGTGCGATTCTCCAGCAATTTCATGGGATTATTAGCCTCCTCCTCGCGTTCTTCACGCTCCTCGCGACGCGCCTGCTCCTCGGCCAGTTTTAATGCCATAAAATTACGTGTGGCGCCCGCTTCGATCTCGTAGTCGGTGTTCTGTGGATCCGTTTTGAACGAGATCTCCTGCAGGCAGCGTGTGCACTTGATGTAGAATCTATAGATACGTATGCCCAAATACGTTTCATTTTCCACATCCTCCTTGCGCGCATTAAACTTCTTGCCCTTGTATATGTATTCCCCGCAAGTTTTGCATCGCATATTAAACGGTGCCATCAATCGGACTGTGTATTGCCGATTTTTGGCCAGTTTCATGCGCGGTATCTTCGATGGATCGAAGTCCGGCGGATAGTATTTCTATAAAGAATTCATGGTTAGTGCATGGCACAGGCCATATAGGGGCATAATTCTACTCACATTTAACACTTTGCGCTCAGACATTTTGTTGATGCACTAAATATTTTAATTTGTAAATAAATGTTTTGTACTTCTTCCTACTAATTTGCCATTCACACTGGTGGCAAAAAGAGTTGTGCCTGCTGTATGATTGAATGTCTTTTAATATCGATTGTTTTTCGATAGGCACGTAGCGAATATAACGTTTTTCGATAACATGTTCTATTACGTACTCGAATTCAAATTTTCCGTTACGAAACTTTTGGTTTTAAAAACAATCGTTAAATTGAAATGCCAAAACAAATATAATTGCATTCCCAGCACCTTTAAAATTTGTTACATATATTTGTTTATTTTCACAGTACAATGCTTTAGCGATAGACATTTCTCTTTGGCTATTATTGCTGCTAAATTATATTTGTATAATACAATAAATACACACACACATACTTCTCAGAACACATGCATGATGTCAGTAAAATGCTCATAAAATCATATGGAGCACTCGCCGTTGCCACCATTCGGCTGCTGGTAGCTGTTCCGCTCCGGCTGCTCGTACAACGAATCCAAATCCTTTGTTCTGCGTAGGCCCCCAAAACGTGAGGGCAGCTGGACTGTTGTCGAAAGTCTAGCGTCTTCGTGCAACTCCGGATCTGGTGTGTCCAGCACAGCCGCCTCTACACGGCTCAGATCGGTATCTGGAAAGCTGACCTTCTTTGCGGTGGGCAACGGTGGTATTGAATCCGTTTTGGTGCGTCCATCGAGCTTGAGTGCGGCACGTGGTATCTTGTGCTTGACCAGCTCATAGGTGCATCTGTATAGGAATGTGTACTGCTGTTGCGTTTGCACCATTTTCATGCGCTGCAAATTTAAAAGACCTCAAGACCTATACACAAGCTAATGGGCACGAGTTCTATTATTACCTGAAAGCGCAGTTTCTTGACCGTTTCAAAAATATTAATTTTCGATTCGCTCTTCAAACGCTGCATTATCAAATCCAGACCTATAAATGTGCCCGTCCGTCCGACTCCTGCGCTGCAGTGCACCACAATGGGCGAGTAGTTTGGACGCTTCTCCGCTTTCACTTTCCTAACAAAGGTAATCAAATGGTTGGGATCATCGGGACAGCCATGATCGGGCCACTTTTTAAAGAAGAAATGTATGACTTTCTCCTTGAGACCATATTTCTCGTGGACCACACAGAGCTCCGTGCGATCATAGATCTCGAATGATTCCTTGGACTTTATTGTGACGCTGACACCGCGCATATTATAGGGATAATACTCGTGGCATTTGATCTGAAAGGGAAATGAAAATATTAGACAAATTTGTAGGCGTGGGCACTTAAGAGTTTCTTACTATGTTGCCTTCACGAAACTGGGTAACCTGTACAATGACGCGGACATTGTGCTGCAGAATCATGCGCCAGAAATCCATAACGCTCTCCGGCTTCGGCCCCTGAGTCGCTATATACTCCTTTTTGCGGGTGTGACCCTAAAAGCAAGGATTAATAAAGATAATTTATTTGGAAGAGCTTTCAAAACGTACATCAATAAAGGAAGCATTGATGTAGTCCGATCCTTCACTATCTATGTCCAATATCACGCGATTCTTGTCATCTGGAATACACAAAATTGAATCTCTAAAGTTTCCCAAATCTGAAGTCAACTTACATGGATATATATCCGCGTAACGATTCTTATTGTTGCCCAATTCAGAGGCCGAATAGCTTAGCTCCAAGGCCACAACGGTTATTTCCTTGAATTCGCGCGTCAATTTCTCCGGCTTGGCCACGTCAGCATAAAAGATGGCAAAGTTCTTGGCTATAACATTACCAAATGGATCTTCTATGCCCTGACCAGAGTCGCGATGCCTGAAAGCAAACATAAAAATTAATTGAAATTCAATCTCAATGTGATCTCCAGCACTTACCAGGCTATACGCTTGCGCACCCAAAGCACAACCAAGCCCAAAATGAAAGCCAGCAGCAGGCAGCTGCAGACGCTGACCAAGATGAGCGTCACCTTGATGGCCGCATCTGTCCTGAACTCCAGCAGGGCGGCATCATTGTAACCGGAGCTGGTGAACAGACGCACCACCATGTTGTATTCGGTGTTAGCAGTTAGCGGTCCATTGCAATAGCGCTCGGACACATCCGGACACTTGCCAACTCCAATGGTAAAGGTTATTTCCTCCTCGCTAATGTCGCGTCCATTCTTTGCAATGTGTGGCTGCCACTGAAGCGGCGTGGTTTGATACTGATAAATGCAATCGCTGCCCACCTCATCCCAGGATGCCACAGTGGGCCATTCCCCTGATTTGAGCACATCATGTTTCAGCTGCGGCTCACCAGCACAGTTCTTCTGGGATAGCAACAGCGCTATATACGTTATATTGCCCGACTCGGAGTTAGCAATATTGCCGGGCAGACGCACGATTGCCGAACTGGTTGGATGATTTGTCTCATAGGCGCTGACGCGCATTTGACTCACCAGATCCTCACCCAGGGCAGAGGGTACTAGTGGGGTATAAATTAAAATAAATGGTTAAGTTTTAAGGCTAATTGCATATATCAGACTTATTCGCGCCTTCAATTAACAGTTGCCTTTACAGTGTTAGTAACTTGGTCGAATTTTGTTCTACAGGCAGCAGTGCTGCAAAGTGCAGCACACAAGTAAGTAAAATAAGGACATTTTTAGTATCTTGTGCATACCAAAAGAAGACCCTACAGAAAAATGAGTGCCAGTAGTTTTTCAGCACTACACGAAGAGTGCGCGCATGGACTAGGACACAAACGAATACCATTGAGGCATTTTTAGCACATTATGCTAAAAGTAGACTAAAAATAGAGTGTTGAAGCTCAAAAAAGAAAAAGGCGTCCTCTTGGTTTTACAACACTAAATGTCATAGATGGGTGTGAAATATGGGAATACAAAAACAATTGCGCGCAAATACTATATAACGAAGACACAAATATCAATTCCAATATGTTGCACGTCAAAACGGCTGGGTAAGTAAGTAAGATCCCATCAATACTTACAGCCAGATGGCGATTTCCACTCCTTTTTTGTACTGTCGCTTAAAGTAGACACATTGCTCGTTTTAATTGCCACTTTTACGGTGTATTCAACTTCGGGCTGTAGATCTGTTTCGGTATAGGACATGCGTCCCTTCTTGTCGTGTCCAGCAGGCGGCACTTGTCGTTGGAATTTGATTTCCTGCTCTTTTCGTGTGCCACTAAATTCCAAGAGGAACCACTCGATTTGACCATTCGATTTACAGGGTATGGTCCAGGCGACGGTCACATTGGCGCTATAATTGTCAGGATCCAGCGCGGGTCCC